CATTCCTGCAGTGCACACACAATTATTTCCAGGGGTGAGACTGACAGGAAGGAGAAAGAAAGAGGAATGGCAAGAAGATCTAAAGACGCCTTAATGAGTCTGCAGACATTTCATAAATGAGCAACTGGGAAGGAGAGAGCTATAGAACAAAAACCAAAACAAAGAGTGCATGTACTTCCTTTTCAGCTTCAGCCACTGGGCAAACCACCACCATTCTGCCCTTTCTCTGCTCATGAAAAACGGTGAGCTGCTCTGTGGATGCTGACTACACTCTAATTGTTTTTGTGGTAAGTGAGGCATAAAACCTATTGTCAAAAACATGATGTCCACGGTGTACAGCCAGCCTTTATCTTCCCAGTAGATCACTCCCAGGGGTTCATGTTGTCAGAGGGACCCTCAAAATAACATGTGCTCGCATTTCTTTAAGGCAGACTTTCAGGTCAGAGTCCCCCCTTTTTCTCTAGTATCTCCTTCTCTGCAAGAAAAGAAGAACTTTCCTCAAGTATATAACCCTGTCATGTCAAATAAAGGCCACACGCCCAAGGAAAAGAGGCAGGAGTCGGCGGGAGGGTAGCATAGGTCTCCTCTCTAAAGCTTATGGAGAGTTGTACCGACAAACATTAGTTACACCCTTTGTATTATAGTAAGAACCCCTGTTGCTAACACAATTCTTAGGATTCACTCTGCTGATTATTATATCTCATGATTTAGTTCTATTCATCAGAAACGAATCAAAGGTACTCAAACAGCTTGCTGCTGGTTTCAAACCAATAAATATCATTTTATTAAGTTTCCCTCTGCCAGCCTTTAATGATTATACACTTACTGGCAGGAATATTTTCTGGGTCAAGACATTTTCAGCGTAATTTCCCTTTCAACCATTAGTTCTCAGGTCCTTTGGGCAGGAACCATGATTTGTTTGGATCACCTGCCTCCATGAGTAGAAAAATATATTATGATACAAACGTTTGGGTGAAATAGGCAGTTTTCACCCTGCTGCTCTCCACCAAGCTCCACACCTCTCAAATTTAATTGAAATCTTTTCAGAACACACAGATTAATCACACCCTTTGTAGGTATCCTGCCCTTAAGAAGCCGTACCAGCCTAAGAAGGGTCAGAGGTCACGGGAAGACTTCAACCTTCAGTATTCTCGGACTGGTTGTAACTGAAAAATTACTAGTCAGTTGTGTGGGATGGCATGGAGGGCAGGTAACACTACGTTCTTATGATAACCCACACAGCGGCCACTGCATTTGGAGCCTGACACCAAATTCTTTAGACTTGAATTAGAAAAGGCACTTCTTTGATAGATTTCTTCTTGTTCCAGTTTACAGGCAACTAATCCTCACTGCATTGGATCAAACAGACGGGCACAATCAATTCAGGGAAAGCAAGCAATGCCAGGTCTGCTCAGTCTTCCCTCAATGAGCAGCAGAGGGGGAGGGGGGGGAGATGGAAAGAAAGAAAACGCAGGCATGCCTGCGCCCAGGATAGCTTAGCAAAGGCAAAGATGAAAAGACAAGTTGAAATATATATCCTGGCAGATGGAAGCGCTTGCTGTCAGAGAGAGAAGCTGAAACACCAACCACGATGCCAAGCACACCAAGCCTTCGGGCTCTGAGGGGTGTTGAAGGAGCTGGGGCAGACGGAAGTGGTTGCGATGTCAAAATGAAACTGGCACAGTGACTTTAGGGAGGGAAGAAGTCTGGATTTACTTAAGTCTCCATAGTCTATGATCTATAGCATCGTGTGATGAGCAACTTAAATATTGCACTTAGGTAATTAAGTCTCAGAGAAACCAGTGCCTTCCAAAGCAGTATTAATTTACACTGCTAGATCTTCCTAGGCTTGATTGGCCATTTGGTGAGAAGTCACACTGGAACGGCAGCCTAACAGTGGCAGGAGGAAAATTAACGAAAATGAGCTAGAAATAGGAGGCCCCAGTATTAGCGGTTTTTCTCTCTGCCTTGGGACATGAAGTACATGACAAGATGTTTCCTCATCTACCGGCAGGCACTCCCTCACCCAACAGCTCAATCCCCCGCTCCAATGCTTTGCTCAAAATGTGGGCAATGATTTAGTGTTCTTTGACTCTTCTGACGTTTCCTGATCTCTCTTCTCTCCCATGGCCTTTCTATCTTCCCTTCTTGCCTCCGAATACAATTTGTCTACAGTACAGGGCATCAAAAGGGCTTCTGCGGATAACAGTTCTCCCTCTCCTGACTCTTTAAAGATCCTCACTGTTCTCAGAGATCCATCCTTTCCCTGCCATGGCTGTGAGTCAGTTTCTCTGGGCCAGCGTATTCATCACCATCATGTATTCTGACACAGAACACTGCTTTTTAAGAATGGGAAGATTAAAACATTTCTTGTCCCCAAGTGCCTGGATATTAGCAGTGAGATTGCCAGATTTTAGCTTACTAATGACTCCAAAGTGACATCAGTATACATATAAACACATAACTGGCAAACATAAGCATAGGTAAATGTGCACGTGTGTCGTTAAGCTGCATCTTCTTTGCCATGAGCAAAACTTAATAAAAATACGTATTTATAAATATATGTAGCTTTATGTGTGCATTTATGTACAAGTAAGCAACATCCTCCTTGTCTTCAGCAGG